GGAGCCGGCGAACTAGTGTATAATATATGTCTCATTATTTTGTTAGGACGCTATTTATCGTACACATCCATAAGAAGTATAATATTACTGATCTGAAATACTATTTTTCTTTCTTTTTGTTCATTTTAAGAATGAAAGAACCGTCAAGCAAATATTTTTTATTTGCTTGCAGGACGACACTTAGACGATATTTTCCCTTTCAATTCAGAGAGTAGATCTATGTGATCTCAAGGACGATGACAACTATAAATTAACGGGACAATATTGAGCTACAAAATCTTTCAGATATTTTCTTGTTTTTTTTTCTTTATAGCGGCAACAATTTTTTTTCCAGAGATCACTCGTATTATCGAGAAAACAGCTAGATACAAAGAGTCACATAGCTGAAAAATAGCCAAAAAATAAAAGTGAAGCCCACTAATGAGAGAAACAACGAAAATGAAATTTCTTGCCACCAAATGGGCAACGCTGTTACAAGCACGACCAACAAAAATAACCTTAAACTCCTATAACGAGCCTCGCAGACTTCTAATCTCCTCCAAAAGCGTACCCCCAAGGACATCAGCTACCTCACCCTCCTAGATCTTCGTCAAAATCACTTAAGGGTCACCTGCAAAATTCATCGACTGCAACCCGCACGCCAAGCACTATCGAACCGCATCCCGGAAGGCCAATAGCTCCACAAGAGACGGTTCTGTAATCCCTACGTATAATGTTGTTGAGCTGCCACCACCATGCCTGTGGGATCCTGCAGAACCCAACCGTTCGCGCTGTGAGAACCACTAGCCGTAGCCCCATCCACAAACATCACCAGCTCTCTAGCGGAGCGTCCTCTCTACCCCTAGCAACAGGACCCCCTGAGTAACGACGAAAGCTCTGGTTGTTGGGTAAGGCCTCCCACTCTGCAACCTGCAAACGAAATTGAGAAATCAACAGTGGCCCAATGTATTGAGTAAACTAGAAGACAACCCAGTTTCGGGCTTTCCAAACACGCAGAAGAGGGTCACAATATTCATCAGAGCACACTCATCCAGATCCTGGCACTCGCATAACCTGCGCCAAAAGATACCAACATTGCTTAGGGGAAAGCAATTCCGGAGTCAAACTATTAAGTGAAAGTTATAGATACATAATCAGTAATAAGCCGATCAATCAGATTTAGCGGAGGCCTATTAGACCATACATCAACAGATTCGCTTCATCCCACCTAGTATTTGTGTGCGCCATAAAGTGCGCCACTGAATTCGCCTTTCTACTAAGATGACCGAGTTGCCCATCGCCTAATTGAGTTAACATCTTCCATATACTTCTGCAAATCACGCCTAGCTCTGTATGATTTGCTAAGGCAAGCCGGACTTTGTTTATTACCATTATGCAGTGGGATTCCAAGATGCGAGAGACAAACTGATGTTGGCGGCAAGTTGCAGGCCAAACTCAACCGCCAATGCCTCGCTCATTGTTGGTCTCAAACTCCTCGTATCTTCTTCGCTGCATCCACAATGAACTTCCCATTGTGATCTCGAAAAACCACACCCATTCTCAAACCTTCCTCATCAATCCTAGCATCCGTGTTGATCTTTGACTTTTCCGGCTAGAGGTCGGGACCATCTTTGATTCATCACCACAACTAGCTGAGGTTCTTCTTTAATTGGTATTGGCGGAATTCCTCCAGATAGGCAATTGCCCTCGAGACAATGTAAAAATCCGCCATTTTCTGCCCATTAAAGAAATGGCCATTTCTCACTTTCTATAGGATCCATAATAGAACCACCCAGTCCTCAACCTAATTCTTCGCCTCACTATTGATGACCTTCCAAACCCAATCCATGTTGTTAGCATCTCCCATTAATTTGAAGTAATGAGTTACTATCGACGTTCGGTAGATTCTACTCGCCCACATACAGTCTTAGAACAAGTGAACCTGAGTCTCCTTCATATTACAAAAAGGGCAGGCATCGCCACATTTTGAATTGCGTTCACTTACTCTGTCACCGGTGGCTAGAGTATCCCTAGTAAAATTCCACATAAAGATCTTTAATTTTTTGGGGCAGATTCAATTACCAGAGGCGCTTCCAAAGTTTAGGATCACCCACGCTTTAATTACCATGCTAGTTCTGATGTATTGTGAGCCAAAATTTGCAAGCAGTTTGTGTCTGTAAATTCCATCATTACTGTCCACCCAAATCATGCAGTATGGTTCCCCTGTTTCATGCAAGGGGATTTGTTAGATGACTTGTACAATATCCGTCGAGAAATAACTCTCAATAACTGTCTGCTCCCAACTTTCCTCCTCCTCCGCAATAAAATCCCGAACTACAACAGACATAGGACGCCCCATCAATTGAGATTGGATAAAATAACCTAGTGATGATGGTACCCATTGGTCACCCCAGATCCTCATCGATGGCCCATTTCCAATACGCCATAGTATATGTCATCTGAGCTTGCGTCGTCGATTTAATCAATACTTCTCTAACTGATGTCGACATCTTCTTCTCCTTCGACCCTGCTAACTTCTTTCGCACCCTATCCTTAAGGTAGACAAAAAGCTCGTTTTTTGAACGGCCAACTCGAGTTACAAGCCCCAGATATTTGTCATTTTTTTCTACTGCCTTCATTCCCAAGGTTGAGCTTACAATCAAGTGCTAATGGGGTCAAACATTCTCTCCAAAAGTAAACTCAGATTTCTCGAGGCTAACCAACTGGTCGGATTCTCTCTGGTAGTCCTCGAGAATATTTCGTAACACCAAACTCTCGCGCGCCATGGCCCTAACAACAAAGATAGAGTCGTGAATGATAAAAAAAGGTTGTGATATCACGGCGGCTCTCTTGTCTACTGATAACCATTAAGAGATTTTTGGTGGACTATTAGTGACATATAGCTAGACAAACTCTCTGACACCAGCAGGAAGGAGATACAGTGACATAGAGTCACCTTGTTGGAGACCTCTACTTGGTGTAAAAGGCTGTGAATGATGGCCATGAACTAAAACAACATATGTCACCGATCTGACACACATCATTTTTAGTCGTATCCACAACTCTTCAAACCCCATCTGATTCATCAGTCCTTCCAGGAACCACCATTAAACCTTGTCGTATGCTTTAGCCATGTCTGTCTTTGCTGCTAGGTACCCCATCTTGTTCTTCGTACGCTTCTTCATCGTGTGGAAACACTCAAAAGCAGTCATAACATTATATGCAATGAAGCGGCATGGGACAAAAGCGCTTTGCTCTGGTGATATAACTTGATCCAAAAGAGCCTTTAGTCTATTATCCAGAGCTTTCGCAAGCATCTATACATCACATTGCATACACATACGGTAAAGATTGTCGTACTATTTCAGTATATCATATTCCAAGTTATATGGGCATATGGCCATTGGATCTACTTCATTGTAGTTTGAAGAATCAGAATTTTTGATTAGTTTTTAATTGATCTTCGGGTTATAATTTAGAAAATCAGGGTTTGAGATTTATCAATTAGGCTAACCATAACTCGGAATGCAATTAGTATTTCATTCTAGTGTAACCACAAAGTCTTTTTGGACAAGGGTGATATAAGTTTGGTTTTTTTTTCCCCAGTTAGGTGCTACTTAAGATATTCGAATTTGGACCTCTACGTTTAAAACCAATGCTATTACCACTAGACCAAGCCCTTATTCACAACTAGAAAATCTTTTGGTATCCTCAAAAATGAATTGTTAGTTGAAATTTCTCTTCTACCAATCGTTTGTTAACTTTAATCTCTCTACTAGGCCTTCATGATGAACATGGTTTGGATCTTCCTTAATGGTCATGACAAGTTTTGAGTGCAAGTTCTATAGGGAAAGTATTTCGGGGATGGAGAGGCAGGTATCGAGGGGAACGGATCAGGTCAGTAATCATATGGTGAGTAACCATGAGTAACCCGTCCACATCAGTATGACATCAGCATCCCTCTCTCTCCTGGAAAGCCTTTAATTTTCCCCTCTTTAATCTTTGACGAACGATTTCTCACTCGTTTTAAGTCAAAATTTAATTTTCTTGCACAGTTAGATCAGATTAATTGTGCTCTTCAAAATGATATTCACTTTGATATATTTTTCGAACAAAAAAAATCGAGTCATTTTTTACCAGTCTATACCATATGGTATTGACTGGTATTGAAATAAGAGCATACCTATGGTTTGAAAAGCGTACCATGGTAGTATGAACAAACCAAGACTGTGGATGATTGAATACATGATAGTAGAAGTATATTAACTATCATATATGACTTTTAACATTGTGTACCACAAGATATCACCCCTTACCAGGGTGGTATTGTATGGTATTGTGTGATATTTTTTGATCATGTAATTTGTTCACCCAAAAATTTGTAGATCCAATAGATCATGATGAACTCGTTCTTTCTGTGCAAACGTTTTCAAAAACGAATTAAAAATGAAGAAGATACCATATGGTATGCAGTTGGTACAGAGAGGCAATAAATTTTTTTTCTCAAAAAATATTGAAAATGTATCTCATTTTGTAGAGCATAATGAACACGTTCCATCTGTGCAAAAAAAAAAAAAAAAAAATCCGAGTTAAAATGAAGAAGATATGAGCCGATTAAGAAAGGCTAAGGAAAATAAAATGACATTTAATTCTCTATCCTTCGATCTGGATATTCTAAATCAAGAGTCTAGATTTAGTTATTGATGAGTGCATATCTTGAGCCGGTATCGAGGAGTTTGGATTGTTTGTGAGGATAATGAGGATCAAGTACATGCTTTTATTGAAACGATAGATTTAGTTTGAGACAAGCTCAGGTCTAAAGGACGAGAGGTTTATGTTCATTGTTTAGGAGCTAGATAATCCATATATGCTTATATTAATGTTTTATTACATTCCAAAAGTAAAATGCTTTCCCGTTCTACCTCTCTCTTCCGTTTCACAAATCGGTAACTTAAAGTAATCTTGCCAATAGATTTGATCAAACGCTTTTATATATAAAAGTGCACATCTTAACTCTTAAATCCCGACTGTTATCACTAAATCAAACCCTGACTAACAACACCAACTTAGAATATTACTAAAATTATAAACAACTACAAAAATCGAAGCATATCCTATCTCCAAATTTGTAAATCACACCCACGAGCTTTACTTCATGATAATGTAGGAAACTAAGAGTAAGAGGTAAAAAATCTACTTACTCTATTTCAAATAATAGGATGAACAGTTATAGAAAAAGAATTTGCTACTTTTATAAATTGCTACACTAATCTCGTCTGTAGCGGAAGGGTAAGAAATTAGTAGTTAAAAAATATTAAGCAAAGAAATTAAATAAAACAACAAAAAGGACGCCAGGGTCCGAGTCAACAAGTTGGAAAAAGAAGAAGAAGAAGAAACTCCCTCCCTCCAAATTCCCTTCTCCTTCCCTTTTATAAGAAGTTAAAGAACCTAGCCGTCTCCGCGCATTTGCTGTCACCGACTTGCTTCACCGAAACCTTCTCCCTCTTTCCCTCTCTCTCTGTATTTCCTCACCGGAGTTAAGTTTTCTGTTACTGGTCTCTGCGGACGAGTTTACTACGATGCCACAGGTGGATCTGGAGAGCCTAGTCGTATCAGTCTGCTCCGGCGGCGGCGCTTGCGGGGACCGCAAAATCGCCTGCGAAACGCTCGCCGACGGCGCCAATCAAAACCAGCACAAGCTGGATTCATCCGAATCGGATCCTTCGCCGGAACAGCTCCCCGCTGATTTCCCTCCCGAATCGTTCTGGCTGTCCAAGGACGCGGAACTCGATTGGCTCGACCGCAACGCCTTCATCGCTCGGCAGGGCTCCACCAAAGGCACATCCAATTCCACCAACCTAAACCCTAACATCCACCCTCCGTCGACGCCGGGGAATTCCTCCTCCTCCTCCCACTCCCAGCGGTTTTCGAATCTCAAGTCGATGATCGGCCTGCCGAAGCCGCAGAACTCCTGCTTCGTCGACGCCAAGAGCCGCCGCCACCACAACACCAAGCCCGGGAACGCGCATCTGTTCCCCAAGAGGTCAGGCTCCACCGGCAAATCGACGTCCTCTGTAGCTGAACCTGGATCCCCGAAGGTGTCCTGTATGGGAAGGGTGCGATCGAAGCGAGATCGGAGCCGCAGGCTCCGCAGCCGGCAGCGATCTAAGCGATCCGCGGAGCCGGAGCTGAAGAAGGCGAAATCGGAGAGGCGGCGGGCGGAATCGGGATTCCTGGCGAGTTTTCGTGCGATTTTCAAGCACTGTTCGAAGTCGAAGAAGCAATCCAAGACCGAGGCCGCCGCCGCGTCGGCGCTGCACAGAGACTCGTCTTCCTCTTCAAGAAAAAGCGACGCGGCGGCGAGAGCGAGCGATATCAGGAACCGGCTGCCGTCGACCGAGAGAGAGGCCGCTCGGAGATCAAACGGAGGTGGTCTTGAAGCCGAACCGGCGGCGGCGAGCTTGGGTGGGATGATGAAATTTTCGTCTGGTAGGAGATCTGCAGAATGGACCAGCAGACTCGACGTGGCTTGATCGCAATCGTCGATGGAAGGGATCCGTTTCGTGTGACGAGCGATGCAACGGTGGGCCCCGCGGCGCGTGGAAGAAAGGGTGGAAAAAATGAAGGGAGGAGGTAGGGTCGAGGTGTACGTTCGCGATTGGTGGTGGGAGTGGGTGGGGTCCAGCTGGCGTTTATAATGGGTCGTTGGAAATGACGTGGCAGCACGCAATAATTGACGGAGCCTCCCAAGCGCGGTAACTGCGGTGGTTACTCTTTCCTCCCATCTCCCGTCTATATTTTTGCTGGTGCTTATCTTTTTTTTTTTTTTTTTAAACTTTCTGCTGTTACTTTTTTTACCGCCGTTGTTTCTTTTTTTACCGCGTTTGATTTTCGCTTCCCTTTGTGACTTTGTGAATTGTTTGGAAGACTCTTTCTTCCATTTGGTTAGCGGGGAAAAGCAATTAGCGGGTGTAAATAGATTGAGTGTAAAGGTTTTTCTTTATTCCCCTAGTTGAGCTAATAAAAAAATTGGAGATATCGTATTCAGTTTTCTTTTGTCCCTATTGCCTTTGTTTGTATTCGCTTCACTTTCAGATTAGCTGTCTAATTAATTTCTTTTACGTTTCTTCTTATGGGAAATTGAGTGACGTTATGAAGAATGAAAAGGGTAAAAAACAATAGAGTAAGAATTGACTGCCAAGTACCATCAAATTGAATTTGAAATATATCTATACTAATGTGATTTCAGTTTGTGAGTTGCTGGTTCCAAATCAGTAGTTGTACCACTAGAGATTGCTCTCGTTTGCGAAATTAAAGAAGACTTTACTCTTTAGTATTTGACGACGACCGTTTTGTCAAGAGTTTAGATGGAAAGCAGTAACCTAACCTAAACCCAATCAAATCTGCTCCCACTGATTAGAGTGCTGATGAAGATGGGTAGTTGGTTTGTTTTCTGTGCAATTGAATTAGGTAAAGAAGGGATGGGATTTTTGGGGACTGGTTTGGATCAATTTGTATCTGATTTTCTTGGTGGGTGAGTGTGATCTGTTGACCATTATTTTATATATAATGTTTGTATTATTATAATGAGAAATTTGTATAATGATTCCATTAAATGGGAACTGGCCTACCGCTGTCACAACCACATTATTTGGGGGGTTGTGAAATGAGAAAATGCAAGGAATCCGGCTCAGAAATCTCGCTTTCTTCCATTTGTTTAAGGCCGGAACTGGTCATCTATTCCAAAGATGGGTTCTTTGTGTGGAATTCAAGACAAGCAAACTGCGGAAGATGACAACTTGTAGATATGATTAGTTTAATGGATGAGAGTTGTTCTTCTGTGTGCCTTGTGTTTTGAGACAAGATGAGATGAGTTCATAATAACTTTCTTTTTTGTGTTTTACGTGCTCTTCAGTGAATTTAGGATAATGATGACTTGAAATTAATTTTTGTTTTTGTTTTTTTACGCTTTTTAGGATCTAATAACCGATATAATATGTTTTGCAGTTTTGTTTTCTAACATCCATAATACAATACATCATTCATGATTGATTGTCGTTAGTAAACTATTAGCAAGCTTTTCATAGTAGTAGCAGTCGGGAATATCTGTATTGTATTAGTATGGTTTTGCAAATTATTGTGAATGTCCTGACTGTTCTACGGATCAGGTAATTGGAGGATTGACAGAGGAAGAAAACGAAAGCAAGAAACAAAAATACACGAATTTTACGTGGTTCACTAAAATGATGTGTGTTAGCTAGAGGTGAAACTGGGCCAAACCCAGCTCTGACCTTGTCACTACCCAAAAAACACAGCCCTGTATGCCCAAATATTCAGCCCGATCCTACTCTCATTTGGCCTGTATGGCCCTGTTGGGTTGGGTTGGGCTGGGTGGGTCGAGTTGGGCCATAAGGTCGGCCCAACCTCTTTTTATCCAATATTACTCCACTTAATTATTTAATATCAAATTAATTTCAAAAAATTGCAAGCATATATTAGAAAATTTAAATGAATTCATAACAAAAAAAATATAATTTAGATAAAAAGTATTTAAACTCTAATTCACAAAATAAAAGTTTAACTAAAAAAATTCCAACTAATTCCATAAAATTTAAGTTAGTCCAAATTCCTTTGCCAAAATTAATTCGAAAAAAATTAAAATTAATTCCAGAAAATTAAAATTACATTTAAAAAGTTTAAATCACCTTTGGATAAATCCAAATAAAAATAAAATAAAATTGAAAAATACATCTCAAAATGAAAGAATTCCCAGAATACAGTAAAAATTATACATAATTCCCAGAATACATAAGTTTTATAAAATTTTCCCAAAATACCCAAGTTTCAAAGGGTTCGAGTTTATGAGACTCGAACTACTCACCAGATCGACGATAAAAAACTCGAACTAAAACAGGATCGACCTTTAAAAACTCGATCAACATTAGTTCGGTTTTGGAAAACTCGAACAACGTAGATCAATGACAAAGGACTCGATCGAGTATGCACAACTCGATCATGATAGATCGACGCCTAAAACCTCGATATAGTGCAACGACTTTAACGAACTCGATCTTAATCTGCACTAGATCGACGCCCTATGACTCGAACTACCTAAATCGATTCCAATGGGCTCGAACCACTGGCCCACCGACATGCTTTAGGATAGGGTTGCAGGGATAAGATTCTTTGTTGTCATAGATGGAGTTTTAGGGACTCGAACCAGTGTAGTTCGAGTACACTAAACTCAAACTACTTGCTCATCATTCTATCTAGTCGCTTTCGGTCCGACATGCTCCAGAATAGAGTGCAGGGTGGGGGGAAATTATTGGTTGACATAGTTCGAGTACACTAAATAATGGGCTAAGACAAATAATTTCAACAAATAAAATATGATTCATAATCATAAAAATAAATAATGGGCTAAGACAATTAATTTTAACAAATAAAATAGAATTCGTAATCATAAAAATAAATCATATGCTAAGACTAAGAAAAATAATTTCAACAAATAAAAACTTATTCATAATCGTAAAAATAAATCATGGGCTAAGACAAATAACTTCAACTAATAAATTAAAAATAAATAATCATAAGCTAGAATGTTACCTCGTTGAATTCTATACGGTCAAGATGTTGGCGGTACCCGTCTAGAGAGGTGAAACTCGTGATAGCTCCAATCCATCTAGCACCATAAGCCCATTGTCGTAGTGGCTCATCGGGACCCCAACTGTTGGCAGGGCAGATCGGAGCGAAAGTAGGAAGGTGCTCCCAAACCCATAGTTGGAGGATGAACATGGGACCACTCACTTGCTTTGTTTTCGGATCCGTACACTTGCACAACTCCGAATATATCATCGCCAAACAAGCAGATCCCCAACTTTTTCTCCCAATCTCGTCCCAATCTTCCAAAAGAACTCGAAGCCACATACAATGCATATTTCCATCAGACTTGTTCGGAAACAAAAATCCTCCAACCAAACAAATAAGGTAGATGCGAGCATACCTCTCTATCTGAGCATCCGTGGCATCCTCCGGTAATTCCCCAACGGTCCTCACTAGCCAAGGTATCAATAGCATAGACTTGTGTAGAGGTGGTACACGACGACCATCTTGTGCTTCCTCGGGGATGTTGATACCTAAACGCTCGCTTATAAATTGGCCCCAACCATTCAATGGTTTCTGTGAACTTTCTATTATTGCATCACCATCAATTGGAAGCTCTGTCAGCATGGCTACGTCCTTCAACGTAATCATCATCTCTCCCTCTAGAAGGTGGAATGTGTGCGTTTCTTTTCTCCATCTTTCCACCATTGCCGTAAGAAGGTTGTTGTCCATCTCCATCCCCACAAACTTCCGCACCCTCAGCAATCGTGCTCTTTCAATGAAGGGCTCGATACGATCATCCCATTTAGGCAAGCGAGATAGCGACCGATGGGTGATTACGTCAAGTTGTTCCTGTAGAAAAAAAATTAATTATTATACAAAAAAAAAAGAAGAATACTATCACATTTAAAAAAAGAAAAGTACATGAGGAAGTGCTTATCGGATCTACCGCCCAACACTTTCAGACCGATGGTAAGGTTGCTCATCCAACAAATCGGTTTCTCGCGGTCCGCCTTGAATGTATAATCTAGGATCGTAAATACTCGGATCCATCTCGACAATTTTGAGTGATAGAAGTACCAAACTAAAGAAAAAAAATCTGATGCGGAAGATTGGGCTTAGCCGCAACCACAGAGCATATTTTTTTCTTCAAGAGTGGTGGGAGGAAGAGAGGAAGAAGAATGGAGTGGTGTGGGATTTGGTGGAATGGGAGGGGGAATTTATAGGTGCAGTGGGAGGAAGTGGATCGAGTTTAGGGGACTCGAACCACTGCATCGATTTTTCCGCCTTCGATCCGCGTCAAAAAGAATTCGAGTGCAGGCAAATCGAACGACCAGATCGAGTTAGGCAAACTCGATCTACGGTGGAGCGGGTCTGACGTCATCGATTCGCGTCAAGCAGATCGATTTTAAAGAGCTCGATCCATGTGCATCGCTTTATCTCCACTCGATCCGCGTCACCACAAAATCGCGGATGTGGCCATTGAACGGTGGAGTTCGATTCTTTTTACCTCGATCTAGGGTGGAGCGCTGCTTATGTCAGCGATCCATGTCAATCAGTTCGAGTGTTCTGTACTCGATCTACGTAAATCGAGTTTACCACACTCGATCCGCGTCGTCCTGTTCCAGCCAATCGCGACTGTTTCACTCGATGCACGTGGATCGATCTGGCACTAGTTCGAGTTTGTTAAACTCGATCCGGTTCAAACTTTGGTAGTTTGGGAAATATTTATAAAAGTGATGTATTATGGGAATTACTTTTAATTTTCACTGTATTTAGGGAAATAATCCTCTAAAAATCCACTTCCCTCTGGCCGATTCAAACTTCCCATCACTCCCGATCCTCATCTGCCTTGATGGCTCGAACCAATTCCAACCTCCCCCTGAACGACATTACTTCCCAGTGGCCGGCGTCGAGTAAGGACCAATTTCGTCGATTATTCTTCTCCATTGGGCGAAATCCCCCCTCCACCCATTCTTCTCCAGTGGCCTCGTCATTGCTCCCCGTCTCTCCGTTCAATCCACCTGTTGCGGCAGCGGCCGCCAATTGCCACTCCTCCACCACCGCAGCGTCCACCTGAAACGGATGATGAACCCCATCGGAGAACCCACCAGCAGGAGGACTGATCCGACCACCGTCGGGGGCTTGTTTTTGCGGCGGCCGGCGCTGACGGGGACGTTGCGGAGGGCTCCACCGGCGGTCCAAAATGGGCCTGAATGGGTTTTAAGGGTAAAAGCCAAAAATCGCCGACGGGGACGTTACGGACGTTGCAGGGAATTATCTTGTCCGGTTTCTTGTCCAGGCTCGGCGAATCGCCGTCTCTACCGTCGGCTAGGCTTCATCGTGATCCTCCTATTAATTAATTATGGCCGAAATGGGTTAGAGTAATTAGGGATTTAGGGTTAAAATGGGCCAAAATGGGTCTGAATGGGTTTTAAGGGTAAAACCCAAAAATAACTTACCCTTCTAGGGTCGGAATGTGACCGACCCTATTTTGGCCCTAAATACTAATTGACCCTACCCGACCCACAGGGTTGGGTCGGGCCGGACCGGGCTGATGGGTAGTAAGGGCCATAGTTATAGCCCTATGTTAGCTAGTCCACAAGCAGGAAAGAGATAGTGTCACTATATTTTGAGAAGATACAAATTTTAAAGAAGTATGATAATTATTTATAGTACTTCTCCCTATCCCTATAATCTAATCCAGTTAAGACCAAGGTTAGAAACAAGGCCCATAACATAAACTTAACCATGTACAAGCACATATATTGCGGATCGTGGCCGTTACCCTGGACCTTACTCTCTACTTGGACAGTAAGAATCCCGTTTCTTCCAGCCATCGCCAAATAATTGGATTCAAGTCATATATAATGAAAATTCTAACAAGTGCCATACAATTCCAACAACACATATTCCCTCAAATGTGCATGTCTTTGACTAGGGGAATGGTGAAAAGCAATCTTAATAATAATAATATTGTAACAGGTGGATGATGGTTGAAGGCACTGGAAAAGATTCGAGGCTCAAATTGGGTAAACGAAAACGGATCCTGAAATTTGACGGTGCCCGTTCAAACCGCAAGTCAGAACAGAACTGTTATAAGCTGGGTTTATTTGGAATTGCCTCAAATTGACATTTTCAACTCATTTGTCTTCTTCTCTTCTGTATTACGCCCCGCTTCTCGTCGGCAATATATAACAAATTCAACGTTTCCATATATTTCAAGTGGGATGGCAAGGCAAGGGTCGGATGTGCTTGTTCCTAGTAAATAACTGAAAGTCGTTTGGATGATGGATTGCAGAAATGAGATAAGCTTATTAAAAGTTGTTTGGATGATGGATTGCAGAAATGAGATAAACTTACGCAATTATTTCGAAATTATCTCATCTTACAATCAAGATCGGAGTTAGTCCTTAATAAGAGGGTTCCACGATACCCTCTTGATTTGGAAAAGTCACAGAAAGTTAGTAGTATTAATATATCAATAATGAACAAAGAATCCCAAAATCTCATTGTTAATTAAAAAAAATTAGTATCCAACCATGATCGATTATATAAATTAATTTAACCTACTAATATCTATATTAATACAGTTTATCAAGATGGGTATGACGTGTGGATTATTAGGGAAAATCAATAACTTTTTATGATAACGATAGTCGGAAGAGAAAATTGGTTCACGTCAATGTACGTGCTTCTGAAATTAGGTTTAGTTTGGTACTACATGTTGTCAATGCTCAATACACATGTTAGTAGAATATTTTTTGCATTGGAATAAATGACCTATCTAATAAAGTGACTTATTAGTAGAATATTTTTTGCATTGGAATAAATGACCTATCTAATAGAGTGAAACGAAGTTGTGAATGATTATAGGGTGAGATGACATCAAGAGCAATCTTAATCATTTGAATAATTATGCAGTTTTAAAATAATTTGATAAAATGAAACCTAAAACATCATAATGAGTTATTGTTCAAAAATTATTTTACGTTATCTTTTTTAATTCACCACCTTAAATGAAATTATGGTTAAGTCACTGTTTACAATTGATGCATCATTTCAAATACATTCTCCTCATGTCAATTCAAATCAATGTAAGAAAGGAAGTAATTCATATTTTGTCAATCCAATTGTCTGCATCCATATTCTGTGGTGGTCAATCAAAACAGACAATTAGATCAAATTATCTCATCCAGTTCCATCATCAAACTACCCCTAACACGAAAACAGAGTACCGTGAACAAATAATAAATATAATTGCATAACTGATTTAACAATAACAGAGTTTAGCTAATAATTTTGGCAGCTTCTGCTAAAAACATCATTCATCCTTGTAAAGCTCCACCTTCCTTCCATTCAGCGGCTGCACGGGCCTCGCGTTCATCCTGTAACCCTCCGCCAGCGGCTCCGTCAGAGCTTTCACCTGCTCTTTCGACACCGTCCTTGCGTCGGCGAGGACGGACCAGATCACATTCTCCGAGCACGGCGGGGCCGTGAGGGAGCCGGTGTACCTGTAGTAACTGTGCGGGCTCTTCTTCAGCATCTTGTACTCCAATTTCTTCAGGGGAACTTGCGATTCCTCGTCCGCAGAGCACTTGTCCTTCGCCAGCTCCTCCAGCTCGTCTTTGATCTTTTTCAGGAATTTGTCTTCGTCGCCGTCTTCGTAGAGGATTGCTGCCACGGTGAAGCTGCCGTCGTCTGCCTGGTGAACCATGTGAAGCTCCAGAGGGTACCTGTGTATGTGTAACAGAGGATTGGCGTTTTCGAAGATTTGAGTGAGACCAGGTCTGGTCACAATATAGAAGAAAGTAGGGACTCACTGTTGGCCATCAATGGTGTGCTCGGAGGGAGTATGCCAATGCAATTGCTTCAATTTGTAGGATTTGCCGTCTATCTGCAATTCTCCAGGGGAATCGTCGAAGTGAATCTGCATTTTCCCAATCATAACACAACAAATTCTAGTGATGTCTCACGTGTAAAAATAAATGTTACACCACATATAAATGTTGGTACTGAACTTCGAAAGCCAGAAGCAAGTTGAATGGGACGAACCATAGGACATCAAGGAAACCTTTTCAATACCAAGTTCATTCACCAAACTCTCTTGTATATAAATTTCATTTTTTGAAATAACCAAAGCACTAGACTTTGGGATGATAACGGATTGGGTTTCAGTATCCATAATTATCCGGAGAAAGTTAATCCGCTAACTTAGAAGATTCGTTAGCATATACTAACTGATATCCAAAATACATGAACTAGTATCCAAGTACTAAAGTATCTAGAGATCACAGACTAGTATTCAAGATTTGCTAAGTAATATCCACCATGACTCAACTATTATCCCAAATTCACAAACTAAAATCTAGACAACACAGAATAGTATCCATACAACACATAATTAGTATACAGATAACATATAAGAGTATCCATATTGAATACTAGTTGGTTGATTGTGGATATTAGTTGGTATCTGCTATCTGTCTGATTACTAGTTTGTGATCTTTTGAATACTAGTCTGTGTTATCTAGATATTTTAGTAAAATCAGCAGATTTGGATACTAGTTCATACATTTTGGATATTAGTTAGTATATACTAACAACTTATGTAGTTAGTAGAATAACTAAGCTGCAATTATCCATAGGTAATAATTCTCTTTATAACTCCAACCAATACATAAAAGTTCACACATATATTGGGATTACATAAGAAGAAAAGTACGAAAATAAGTCAATATAACAAGAAAATTAGTTATAAATAACAAAATCTCGTTCAAATATTATATATGTAGAACAACTATCAAATAAGTTAAGAAAAATAATCACCATTTGCTAAACAAAATGCATATGCATGTGTATAATCGAGTGGTTTCGGGTTGGATAGTAAACAAACCATGGCCACCCATTACCGGCAATATTCGGATTCGAGTTTATTCATACCCAGTAAAAATCTTTCGAGTTCGAATTTTATCCTACCCGATTAGGTCAAGTTCGGGCAGGTATCCATTGTTCTGGATATTTTTGCCATCCCTAGCTAAACTCAATTGAGTATGTTATGACTCATTAGTATTTTCATCCATTTTATATGACTTGTGTTATTGTTTAACGTGACTTCTTCCATGTACACTAATTCAAGGTGGTTGTCACATCCATCAATGGCATGACAACATATTCCTAGATCATTA